TTCTGTCTTCCCTCTTGGGAGACTATTTAAAGCCCCCCTCTATCCTCTCCTTGTTGACTAACCTCTTGCATGCACTAGCTTTCAGCACCAACCAGTGATCTGCAGCCTCAATCAGCCAGAGTCATTTTACGCTGATAAATCAGCCTGCGATTTCGCATTACATCCAATATGTGTAAACCTCAAGTTCTCAAGGATCATTCCTTTCCCTGGAATAGTGGTTAAAACCATCCAGTTTGAGAAGAATGGTCCTTTTTATACTCATTGAATTGACACAATCTCTGGACATTTAATCAATAATGTGATAGGTTCCTGTGTGAATCCAACCTTGAACTGCGAGGGTGTTTCCAAGGTGCTGAAGTCAGGTGACAAGGCGATCCTCTCCTCCAGCGTCTGTAGGAACACCCTCTGGAAGTCCAGCATCTCTGGCAGGCTGCCAAACAGACTCTCCATCTGAGGAGGAGAACGGGGATAGAGGGGGAGCAGGATAATGAACAGAAAAAGGTGAAGAAAGGAGCAGCAGTTTGGAATTGTGAGAAAGCGATAGATAAAGATGGATGAGAGGAAAAATAGCAGATGGCAAAAGTGTGAGAATGAGGTTACAAGAAAAAAAACCCCAAGATAGATTGTACTTCATAACAGTCAGTCAGACAGGCACCACAAAGTGTAATAAAACCTCCACTTTGATGACTCCATCACTCAGGGACCAGATATGTCCTTGCTACAAATACAGCACACACACAAATTTAACACGCTCTGTGACACACACCCAACACTTCCGTTCATTAAAACCCTTCGGAAGCTAATATTCCCTTTTCAATATTGTGTCTGGACCCCTCCCACTGTCCCATAATAGCCTTTTAATTTGCCTCAGCACTCAGTGGCCTATCAACTACTCTGTCTTGGGAGAGACATCCTGTGTGTGAGGTCATGCCTGGCCCAGCACTGCTTTCAGGGCTGGAAACCGCAATGCTAAAGACATTAGCATGCTGCAGCTACACTATACAGTATGTTGTCACACGAACACACAATGACAGTTTAATTTAAGGTGTTTTGAAATGGAGAAAATTTTCTTATATAAGGTCAGTGGACAACTATACAGTGGTGTGTGTGAAACTGGGGTGAATGCTAAAAGGGTGGATTTGCTCCTAAGCTAGTCTTTATTGTCACATCTCTCCGGGGTGCTAGAAAGTCGGTGTGAGGGAATGCAAATCTGTGCACCAGCCTGTCGCAGTGGAAATGAGGGAGATATGACCGAGTAGAATTCAACATCACCTCTGGGTAATTAACACTCATGAATTTGAGTGTTACTCACTCATGAACACTCACATTGAACATCTTAAGTAGCCTCAGCACTTCCTGTGACACACCTGTAGATTCTACACCTCTCCTTACTTCATACACACACAGGTCACCTACCTCGTCCAGTGTGAGGAAGGTTTCATTCTGCAGCGGTTTCAGGTAGATTTTGAACAAACAGGCCAGGTCCTACAGGAAAAATCCAAACGAAGGTGAGGAACAAGGAATCAAACAGCAATAATTAACATTATCCCTTGACCTGTCTGTCCACTGAAGTCACTTTCTTCATCAGATCACACCTTATTTTTCCATTATGACCTCCTACCGTCTCCCCTCCCAGAACCCCTCACTTTATTGCTCCATCTTCTCCCCACTATTGCCCCTTCCCTCCCCCCACCTTTAAGGTGGCTGTGGCTCGTCTTTGTATCGGGGGATTATTTCCAATAGGGTGATTTATGAGCTTCCTCCTCCTCTGCATCTTCCCCTCCCCTAGCTACCCTGGCCACTGTAGATCCACAGATACGGGCACACAGTCCTGCATCAAGGCATGCTGGGAAAACTGTCTCTTCACCCTGATTTACAAATCAACAGCAGGCTGAAGCCTGGGTAAAACAGACATGTTTACGAGTCACAAAATGGAAGTCCGAGTCAGGTCTCAAGTGTCTGATGTTTCCAGGGTAATGTGCCTATTCCAAGAAGATTTTCCACTGTTGAACTGTATCCGGTTCATTAACTAATAAGGGTTTACAGCGGGTTAATCCTGGGTTCCTCTGAGTTGCCACAGAACTTCTAACCTTTCTGTGAACCTGCAGATAAACATGGAAGCTGAAGCTAAAGACAAGTGTTGTACAACTCCAAGGCAAACTAGAGCCTGAGTGCTGAACTTTTAGATACATCTCTTAGATTTATCAATACACTCAGTTATCAGTTTACTAGGTGCACCAAGCTTAAACTAATGCAGTCTAATACGGTTCTGTAATAAAATCTGTTTCATGGTGATAATGATCTGTTTGTGTTCAAACTGTAGAGAGGTGTCAATTCCACTGTATGATCATTTTGGATGCTGTAGTTTGTGTTGCTGCTGAACTGTATTGTTAGAAGATGTATCTTATATTAACTGGAGTAACTCGGCATTTGTTGCTGGACGTGAAGTGCTAGTAGGCAGATTTTTATTTCTGCCTCTGAACAGAAACAGCAGTCAAAGCTTGTAGTCTCACCTTCACATAGGACTTCTCTGTGTCCACCAGCTCCTGGATGACTTTGCGTAACCTCTCTGTGACACTCATGTGCTTGGGGCAAGGTCTGAGCAGGGTGTCCTCGCCTGTGCGTCCTGACCCTAACTCCCCTCCCTGCCTCACCCGAGGTTCCTTGGAATCCGTCATCAGGTCCCCAGTGCCTGAGCCCGTCCCTTCCTGAAAGGACTGGTAGAGAGTGCACACTGTGTCTACGCTCTGTCGGGGGCAACACAGAGAATGGCATTGCATTCAGGATACAGCAGAAGGTTCTGGCACAACTTCACCCACTGTCAAGGTGCACGGACAAGAAAAAAAGTTAACTGATGAAGGCGTCATGCTGAAACGCGTTGGTCTTCTCATTAAAGTTGCTCAAAACACTGCAAGTGTTGCTGGACTTCTTGTTTTCCCATTGTATTTAGGTTAGGGAGGTTTGGGATTGTAACAGCCAGCTGGATAAAATAGAGATCCCAGTTGTTATAAGAAACTGCACTGTATGCATGCATATAGTCATGTATGTGCCTACAAACATTCTTCAGGATCTGTTAAAATGATCATTATTTCTACCACATTAAATAGTTTGGTTTCAGATAATTTGACATGCCAGGAGATCCCAAGACGCTATGTACTGTATTTGTAATAGTTTGTATTAGAGGGAGTGGAGGAGGGGGTTAGCAGTAGTTCATTTTCTAAACCTGCTGTGTACTTCTTTTGATAGGTGGAACCCCATGAAGCACTCAGTCACACCATTTACAGTGTTCAACAGAAGCCGATGATTTACTTTACTTTATACTGGACTGTATTGCTGGGGGTAGGTACCATAGTGAGAAGTCGTGGACTTTTTGTTTGGCAGGTAAGATTTTATGGTCTATGAGCAACTGTGGCAGCAAATGAACCTTGATTTCTCCCTGGGGCACAAAACAGAAGCAGTAAGAGAAAAACCCATCACTTCTCTTCACAGTAGACCGTAGCTGCCACTCTAAAGTTTGTTTTAAATACTACAGCAAGTCAGTTTATTCTCAACACTCAACTGCACCAAGATTTGTCAAACTGTAGTGCGCAAGCCATTAATTATGATGTGATTTCTGTGCTAAAATTAGCCTCGTGATGACCTGTACGCCTTCATCCAATTGAATGCCATGATGCAGCGTTATAGCCTGTGGCCAGTCACAAGAATCAGCGAAGGCTGATAAGTGCCAGTAATAGCAGGCTCCAATCCGCTGCACAGCAGCAGAGTACAGTGGAACAGCCATGATGCCAGACAAACAGCTGCTCAGCGCTCCTTGCTTTCCTGTGTGTATCCTCGAATTTAAATGTCACGAGCAAGATTTCAGGTGCAGCTGATTACTAAAGACTGCACAGCAACACACGAGGATCGACGCACACTGACACTCCAGGTGTGTGTGGGGGGGGGATTCTTCTCCATACTCTATGCGTGTCTGGACTAATCCTCTTTCTAGTGATCCACTGCCCATTACTGCACCCCAGTAATGGTCAAAACAAAACTATAAGAACCTACAGCTGCTGATAGACACTACATTAAACATAACACAATCAGTTTCACACACTGATGATGGTGCCAGCCTTCATTCACCGATACACGCTCTGGGAAAACCTTACAGCATGTTGTGCCTAGCAGGCAGACAGAGGGAGACTGCCTGAAGGGAACACAGAGGTTGAAGGATATCAGAACAACATATTCATCAAATAGCACACTGGTAGCTCCAGAAAGGCGAGAGAAGCCTTGTGGAGACCGATAACAGTCATATCTACCGTTTATTTCAGCTACAGGCGTCCAGAGGAAAGGGGAGGCCTGCCCGGGTCTTTGTAAATATGTGCATGTGCCTGGTAACACACACTGCTGCTCAAGTACTGAGGTAATTCTTTTCACACCCACACAGTGGAAGGATATGGGCTCATGTTCATGTTGTGCAGATGCAGATGAGATGATGGAGAAGCCATAAAGCTGAGGGGGATTTAAAAAATAAAAAAGCATTTTTACTTGATGGGATGCACATCGATACACACTTTCACCTCACACAGATTCTTAACCAAGTAAGATTTCCATCAGCACTACATGACTGCCTTTGAGCGTGATGAGAATAGGTGGGCAGGAAAGGAGAGAGGAAAAGTGGAGGGTGAACGGACGAGTATGGGTGGGCTGCATACCGTCATGACTCAGGAACTGCCTCACAATAAACCCACCAACACAGCCTGACAGCTAGCCCAAATAACCAATTAAACACTGAGGACGGGAGCGCCGAGGAAGGCAAGCGGACCCAGCAGTGCTGCTGTAAATTCCCACTCAGGTTTTATCACTGACAGATGTCAACTCTGCATCGTGCTTCTACTTCTCGCTGCTCGCACTCTTTAGTCAGTTTAGAAAATAAGACCATTATATTGCTGTTGAGGTATTTTGTCTCCATCTACTTGTTTTGCTTCTGACAGCAACTGCCGCGCGCACACACACACACACACACACACACACACACACACACACACACACACACGTGTACAGAGTCCACATGCTGTATCCCCCAAGTCAAAGAGAAGGGTTTCATTACAGATAACTTTCATGCTGAGTAGAAATCCTTATTTTTAATAGATCCATAGAAATTTTGATTCCAAATTGTCCAAAGAAATTTCCATAACAAAACCTAAACACCATCCCTCCCATCATTCTGAAATGACACTTACTGACCCTGCTCCTTATCAGGAGCAATGACAGAACCCCAAATCAGAAAACGTTGGGGCAGTATGTAAAATCTAACTGAAATCTGAAAATAGTGATTTTTAAATCATCTGTGTCCTGTATCACATTGAAAACAATACAGCAGCACATTATTTGATGTGATACCTCATCACTTTTATTCTTTATTCAAAATAAACACTCCAGTTCTGTGTTAACTACACCTCAGCTTCAAAGGCAGAGTGCTTTGACAGGGACTGTGCCTCTCATCCTGCATCCTCCTATTCTGTAAGCACAGACAGAGAAACAGCGCTCGCTGCTGCTACCTTGTTTTGCATATCAATCAATAGTGGACATTCTGGTCATCTGACTTGAGCAAGTAGCAGGGGGAATTCTCGCTCACTGTCTCTTTGCATCAATTCTGCTCTCTCTCTGTCTCCACTTCCACTCCCTGCCATCCATTCTACTGTTCTTTGTCCATCTGCCTCCAGATATTCCCATTCCTCTTTCCTCCATTCCCCCCATTTCAGGCTCCATGTGACCTCTGGTGTGATTTCCAGAGATATAAACGAGAAGGATGAGGGCTTTATCAGTGTCCAGTCTCAGTAGCAGCAGCAGTACAATGTAGACTGTTCTGGCTTATTACCGCCACACACTGAGGAACGGTTGAGTCAAAAATGCAAGGCTGTGAGCCAGCGGGGGCAACAGAGCAGGGACGCTATCTG